ACTGACGAGGCGTTGAACGCCGAAACATGCATGTCTGCAGATTGTAATATATATATATATATATATATATATATATATATATATATATATATATATATATATATATATATATATATATATATATATATATATATATATATATATATATATATATATATATATATATATATATATATGCATATATATATATATATATATATATATATGCATATATAGTTTTTCGTTTTACCTCAAAGAACCACAACAGTCTGTTTCATCCGTATAGGAATCATACCACCTGATGATTCCTATACGGATGAAACAGACTGTTGTGGTTCTTTGAGGTAAAACGAAAAACTATATTACGCTCTGTCTATATGGTATTGAGCACTGTTTGTGTTTCGTAAACCAAAATCTTAAGCTATATATATATATAATATTTGATATACCTTCATATCCGCATTTATCCTACCATGCATCCGTTCGTCCACATTTCATAGTATCCTCTTATCCGTCCGTCCGCATTTTAACCTCTTATCCGTCCGTATTTTACCCTCTTATCCGTGTAGTAATCTAATGTTATGCCAAGGTATATTACATTAATACATTACTACATACCCAGATAACAGAGAAAATTAAGCATGCGTTTGCGTAAAAGTATAGACCGTACGAAAATCGCCATTTTTCCGCGACAATTTTTGGTATATTTATTCTGATAATTTCGTTGAAAACCCGTAGGTATATTTAACGGATAACTGCATTGAAAAGACCTTCAAAAATAGTACATTACAATGGCATAAAATTAGATGACCGCTGACGACCGGATAACAAAGAAAATTATTTATGAAAGTGGGAAGGATTAGGGTTTTAATTCTGCATGAAAATACAAATACCACTCGATATACCGCATTTTACCCTCTTATTCGTCCGCATTTTACCCTTTCATCCGTTCGTCCTCATTTTACCCTCTCATCCGTCCGTCCGCATCCGCGTTTTTGTTAATATTGAGTTTTACAGTTCAAATTACAATATAATTACTTAATAGGAGAATCTTTTGTATGTTACATAACACGCGCTCAGAACTAATGTTATATGACAATGGTTATGACAATTTCATGAATGGGTCAGACAATATCTGTGACCAAACTTTAAGGCCTGTATCCTTTGCTGTAATAAAAATTTGTAGAGTAAAATTGTTTTTAAATTGACAATATTTAACTGTTCTTTTGCGTTTCTCATGCAACCTCCAGATACATTTAAAAAGGTTGATAACTCGTATGTAAACTACAAAACATTAGGCTGTCTCTCTAGCTCAGTTGGTTATAGAGCTCGTCAACTGTCTCTCTCTGTAGCTCAGTTGGTTAGAGCTCGACAACTGTCTCTCTCAGTAGCTCAGTTGGTTAGAACTCGACAACTGTCTCTCTGCAGCTCAGTTGGTTAGAGCTCGACAACTGGTCTCTGTAGCTCAGTTGGCCGTTTATAGAGCTCGACAACTGTCTCTCTGTAGCTCAGTTGGTTAGGGCTCAACAACTGTCTCTCTGGAGCTCAGTTGGTTAGAGCTCGACAACTGTCTCTCTGTAGCTCAGTTGGTTAGGGCTCAACAACTGTCTCTCTGTAGCTCAGTTGGTTAGAGCTCGACAACTGTCTCTCTGTAGCTCAGTTGGTTAGAGCTCGACAACTGTCTCTCTGTAGCTCAGTTGGTTAGAGCTCAACAACTGTCTCCGCTGTAGCTCAGTTGGTTAGAGCTCGACAACTGCCTCTCTGTAGCTCAGTTGGTTAGAGCTCAACAACTGTCTCCGCTGTAGCTCAGTTGGTTAGAGCTCGACAACTGTCTCTCTGTAGCTCAGTTGGTTAGAGCTCGACAACTGTCTCTCTGTAGCTCAGTTGGTTAGAGCTCGACAACTGGTCTCTGTAGCTCAGTTGGTTAGAGCTCGACAACTGGCCTCTGTAGCTCAGTTGGTTAGAGCTCGACAACTGTCTCTCTGTAGCTCAGTTGGTTAGAGCTCGACAACTGGTCTCCTGTAGCTCAGTTGGTTAGAGCTCGACAACTGGTCTCTGTAGCTCAGTTGGTTAGAGCTCGACAACTGTCTCTCTGTAGCTCAGTTGGTTAGAGCTCGACAACTGTCTCTCTGTAGCTCAGTTGGTTAGAGCTCGACAACAGTTGTAGCTCAGTTGGTTAGAGCTTGACAACTGTCTCTCTGTAGCTCAGTTGGTTAGAGTTCGACAACTGTCTCTCTGTAGCTCAGTTGGTTAGAGCTCGACAACTGTCTCTCTGTAGCTCAGTTGGTTAGAGCTCGACAACTGTCTCTCTGTAGCTCAGTTGGTTAGAGCTCGACAACTGTCTCTCTGTAGCTCAGTTGGTTAGAGCTCGACAACTGTCTCTCTGTAGCTCAGTTGGTTAGAGCTCGACAACTGTCTCTCTGTAGCTCAGTTGGTTAGAGCTCGACAACTGTCTCTCTGTAGCTCAGTTGGTTAGAGCTCGACAACTGTCTCTCTGTAGCTCAGTTGGTTAGAGCTCGACAACTGTCTCTCTGTAGCTCAGTTGGTTAGAGCGCTTCAACGGAATTCGCAGGGCCACAGGTTCAATTACTGCTAGAGGGTCGATTATTGCTCAAAATTATGATAATGAATCATATATTTGTGGGTGAATAATTTCTTTTGAGGGGCGATTTAATCGCTTCCAAATTAGGGCACTATTGACAATATCAGCTAACGAGCTGCCGAATAATTCTAAAGGAAGTAGCCTTTAAATTGTGCGCTTTTAAAACACCACACAAAGGCGGCTTCGCAATGTTAAATACCTTTGGAGCTTAGAAAGTTTCAAAGTGTTTCGAAAATCGGGAAAAAGATACATTAGGAAAGCGAAATATGGTGAATAGATTTCCGTGCAGTTTCGACATATTTTTGTCGCTGTCATTGAGAAACCTTTCATGGTTGAGTGAGTTATATAATTAAACTTGCAAATGGTATCAGTTGAGGCACAGATTTGACACACCACGCCAAAAATTTGCATTCCAAAAGACAAGTTCTCGAGGGCAACATTAGGTTACGAACGAAGGCGTTTATAAGCTCAAGATTTAGGCGTATACAGCTCAGATTTATTGTGTTGCATTGAAATTGAATTGCAGAAAAGCACTACCGAGTTTTGGACGGGGGAATTTGAAGTTTGGTATCAGTGCCCGCCAATTTTTTGGCGAAGCGAAGACAAAGACAACTTTAACGATAAAGCTCAGTTAGCGTGAACAAAAGTGCTTCGGTTGTTTACTGGTTTGAAGGCGTTTATCTCGAAGAAATTATGGTTGAAACAGAGACATATAAAGTACAGGACGTGGCGAACGAAGTACAGAAAGCTGGGATGAAAGAGATGGCAGAAACAAGCGAAAATTCGGATGTTGTTTTGAAATACGAAGGTAAGTCAACGAAGTGGAACGATATTATTTACGAAGCCTCAAATAACGCAAGCCTATGGTTACATATACGGCTTAGTAGAACCTCTTTTAAAGGCTAAATGGTATCCATTTGTCTTGTTTAACTTCATAGTGGAATGAGTTTATATATTTTAAAAGGTTTTGGGGGCTTTGATACGATTTAAAGGGACCCTATACACGGGCTGATATAAAATTTTGGCGGAAAGGCTTGAGACGCTAGCGCGCGTTCTGACGTCATAATATAACTTGTTAGCTCAGGCTCAGCGGGATTTTCGTGGTGTTCGGCGTTGAAGTTTGAAAGCTGGTTTTAACGTGGTTTTCTTGCGGGGGGAATACTTGTAGCATTATGTTGGTATATTGGTCGAGCTTGTTAGGCAAGCGACCTTTTTTTGAATAGGAGGAAAATGGATTTTAAACTGTGTTGGTATCAGTTTGTGGTACTGTAATCTTCAACACATAATGACAAAAGCCTAAGATTTTTAAAGCCTTTGTATCACCAATCTTCGGGTGAGGTCCTTCATGAGAAAAACATCGCTGTTTAAAAAGCAAAGCGCGGATGCATGTGAAACTGTGCATGACTTCTCCGGACAGGGAAGATGAGGTCCATTGCGACTCGAGGGTTTCATAATAAACCTTTCATCTAAGCTGAAGTGCATATATTATAAACAAAGCTCAGAATTTAGTCAGGTCGTAGACTGGTCGATATAGCAATGTGAGCTCTATTGAATGCGGTGCGATAATGCAAGGTTTTCTGACCCCAAAGCAGGATTTTATCTATATAAGTTTAACCAAATATATCGCTCGTTTCTGTCTCTTGATAATCATGAGTTGTTTATGTATGTTATTGTAATTAATTAAAGACAAATCCATTGAGACATCGGTAGCCAAGTTTTGCTCCGATGTCCTATAACAAACTTTTGATCAATTATAACTAGTATAATTGTAATTTTTAAGCTGGTCTCTCTGTATATTTTAATATGTTTTTTATTCCGCGTGCCAGTATTGCTAGCTCTCTTTGAGTAAAGTTTGTCTGTCGTATATAAATCATATATGCAAATAGGCTTGTTCTTCTGGGGTTCTATTCCATTGGCGATAGCTTCAAGCCTTGGAATTTGTAACTTTTAGTAGGACCTACGTTCTGGGTAGGGCTACTACAATAGGGCTACCACGGGGAGTGTTTGCGCTGAGCAACGCCAACGGATGTGAAAATGTTACTTCCCCCTCACGAGACAATAATACGAACCAGCGCGGGTTAGGCCTCAATGACTTTGCCCCGCCATAAATCAACTATTACACTAACAAACAGAGAGGACTGCTTCATTTCGTATGAGTTCTGTGCAACATAAGAATCACTTTAATTTAGAGGCGCACATTCAATAACGTGCGCTGATTTAGCTGCGAATTCTGTACACAACATCACTTTAAGGTAGCCTACATCAGTCAAGAACCGCTGTCTGTGGCAGTGTGGATAGTGTCAATATAATATGAACAAGCTTTCGTTGGTAGGAATTACCTGAAAAATATAAGGAGAATTTCGACGTTTCAAGGTCCTCCCTGGCTTTAACCATGTGTAACTCAGAGACTTAACTCTACTCGCATAAGTTAAAGTTCTGTACAACATCATGTAAAGTACAAAGATACCGATGACAACAAAGTACCGCTATGATATTTAACAGGATCTTAGCTTCGAAGAACGTAGCTAATAGAGCTATCCAGTATAAATAAAGTTAGTTTAGTTCTGGTTTCCTCCTGTAGTAACACAGGATCAATAAAAGATGATCCTTACTGGACCTCAACAGTTTAGAACTGATAGAGGTATCCAGTATAAATAAAGTTAGTTTAGTTTAGGTTTCCTCCTGTAGTAACATTGGATCAATAAGAGATGATCCTTACTGGACCTCTAAGGAGAACAGTTTAGAACTGATAGAGCTATCCAGTATAAATAGAGTTAGTTTAGTTCTGGTTTCCTCCTGTAGTAACACTGGATCAATAAGAGATGATCCTTACTGGACCTCTAGGAAGAACAGTTTAGAACTGATAGAGCTATCCAGTATAAATAAAGTTAGTTTACTTCTGGTTTCCTCCTGTAGTAACATTTGATCAATAAGAGATGATCTAT